GTGGGTTTGAACCGCCAGCCTTCTGGTTAGCAGTCAAGTGCCTTAGCCACTATGCTACCAGAGCTCCCGTTGAATCCCATAGATAGCATTACAAAGAAAAGTTCCAAGGCCAAAAGGACTATACCATATTTATTCTGCACATTAAATAGCTTTTAGTTTCTTCATTGAAAGAAGAAAAGACATAGCCTATTTTAAAAGTTATTTCAAAATAGTAATTCATATATAAACACAATCATAACAAATATACATTTACTACTAGTATTAATTTTTCAAATTTTAACAATTAATCTACCTAAAATCTTATTTCCATTTTATATACCTCAAAGAATCAAAGGATCTTAAAATACTGTTTAAATTCTACTACAGAAAACTCTAAAATTAATATATAAAATAAAAATGGACAGAATAATAACGAAGTTATAGCTTAGAATCAATGGGAAAGAGCCTATCAGAAAGCTTTATTTGCTTACTATCTAAATCACCTAATATCAAATGGACATTTCTCATTCATCTCCCAAAAACACTCATTTCTTTGACAAACTAAGTATCTACCATGTGCTCCTCATTCTATCCCTTCTAGTCTGTACTCCATTCTTGTTCTTAGGAGTTCAGGCAAGAACCTTAGAACTTCTACAAAGTACCCAAGGTACAAGAACAAAGATCAGTCTGTCTTTTAGAATAAGCAAAAATGTTAAGCACTTACTTAAATGTAGCCACTTTGTTTATGACACTCTCTAAGCCAGTTTCATTATTTTCCTGTTGAAACAATATTTTGGTCATTTTTACCTTTATGTAATAACTTACTCTTCTCTTACTGTAAATTAGAAGATATCTTTAACAGCATCCCTGAAGTATTTTGTAAATAATTAAAAAAAAGAGATCAAATTAAAAATTAGCTCTCAAGCTAATTAACTCTGCTTTGGGAAGCCCATTTCTTAATATAGCTCATATAAACTGCTTAAGGAAGAAATTTTATCAAAGTTTGCCTTTGATGTTTGTTTACACACACAGACACACACACACACAGCACTACTATTCAAAGAAAAGGAGTTTATCCTTAGGTCGTATGTTCATCACATTTAAGCCCATGCTATAGCGTTTCTAAAACCAAGGTAATAAAATAAGTGGGATCCAACCATTAATTTATACAAAACACACATGTAGATGTCTAAATATATTATATACATAGGCTTCTGCAATTATAAGTTTTTTTTTTTTCCTGATTTGCCTGAACTTTTCCTTGAAGAAGAAACACTATTTTTCATGAAGTCATTTAAAATCTGGTGAGCAGTAAAAAGTTAGCATATGCTATAAATTATTTTTTTTTGCAAAGTATGGTATGGTATATGGAATGATTTTAAATGTCACATAGGCATATATTTTTAAATTTTCAAATAGTTATTTGCTTATTTTAATACATATTAGGAAAAAATAACCTAGAACATTAAATCCACATTTCACAGATACTGCTATTTACTTTATCCCTATTCTAGCTCTCTGGGAAGCCTTGATAGCACAGTTCTTTAGAAAGAGCTCCCCAAAAACCCAGTTACCATCAAGTTGATTCTGCCTCACAGAGAACCCATGTGTGTCAGAACAGAACTGTATCCGTAGGGTTTTCAATGGCTGACTTTTCAGAAGTAAATTACCATGTTTTTCTTACAAGGAACCTTAGCGTGGACTGAATCTCCAACCTTTCAGTTATTACTTGACCATTTACACTATCCAAAGATGCCAGAAAGAGCCCAAATAAGTCTCTTTTTAGAATTATTTCTTCTAATACATTTCAGAACACTGGAAATAATGTGATACTCATAAATGTTAGGATTGTTACTTCAGTATCTGTACATATAAAAACATGAATACCACCTGTGGTGGCTATGAGAATGTACCCTTTAGACCTCCAATCCGGAAAAAAACAAACAAACTCACTGCCATTGAGTCGGAGCCAACTCATAGCAACCCTTCTTGGATATCTGAGGCGGTATCACTACAGAAGTAGATTGTCCAACCTTCCTTCTGACGAGTGGCTGGTGGGTTTGAACTGCCAGCCTTTTGGTTAGCAGTCAAATGCCTTAGGCACTATGCCAACAATAGAGTGAACTTAATTGACTATAGGCCTCAGCTGTTGTGGTCTGGTCACACCAAGGCCAGGCTTCCCACTGACTGCTTCCCAGACAATTAAGCACAGAAGAAATACTAAAGCAGACTCGCTCTGGGACACATGGGAAGGTGCCAAACTTTCCTTAGATGCCTGGTAGTCTAGGATGCTTTTATTCAACCTTCTTTCCCTCACCTTCAACAAAAGTCAGACTTGAATAGTGAAAAATACCAATCTCTCACAGGTATTACTTCCCCTAATAAAATATTAAATATATTTTCTTGATGTCTGCTTTAGACCAGACTAACACACCATTCAAAGAGTATTAGTATGAGGGAGCCCCCTTGTCCTCTGAAGACATCTTATTTTAAAGTAAACAAAAAGTCAAGGAGCTTCTTGCCCTATAAGGTCTTCTAAAATGCTCAGAAGGCCAGAATTAAAGTTCCCGAACACTAAAGGATGACTGGTGCTAGTTTTACATCTACAAAATAATGACATAGAACTTTTTGCTAAACATATTTTCCTAAAACAGATGTAGATTCCAATCAAACAAAAAGAAAAAATGATCCTAACTTGAAGTAAATGGAAAAAAAAAACACACTGGACTTACATTCTCAGGTAAATTTTTGGCAATGGCACTGTGTGGCATGGGTTCAATACAAAGCAAGTGAATAATTTCCCTCATTGTGACCTCTTCTTTCGTCACATTTCCCACTCCAGGTACGTAACGCTCTCCTAATACAAAGAATGAAAAGAAAAAGAATAATAATTAATTGCTTTCTATTTAAATTTCTCTCCATCAGGAGCACAGAACACTGCTTTAAATTAAAAGTCTATGAGAGAGGCCAGAAATAATTTAGACATGTTCCCAAAATTGAACAACAAAAGTCTGTTTGCTGAAAGACAGAGAGAAAAAAATGAGAACTGAAGGAAAACCCAGGGCTACTCTTTAGTTATGTATGCATACACACACACACACACACATACATATACATACACATAACAAACACGGTCCCTCTATTAAATTAGCATGTATTTCTAATAGAGAAAACAAGGTAGATAGCATTGAAGACCATTACCAAACAATAATTTTTCATTCAAGATCTTCCTTGATTTTGTCTCTACTTGTTATTTAAGAATGAACAAAGTGAACAACTGAAAAACAACTTTTAAGTATTGTGGTGTAGAGAATTAAAAGGTATGGCTTTTCTAGCCATAGTCTCTATAACTCCCATTTTGCCTTGAACAACTGAGTAGCTGCTTGTTAAAGCCATCCACCTGGGCAGCACAAAGTAATCTTCTGGGAAAGTTCTCTCTCCGGTGTACAGAACTCTGATGTTGGGAACTGACTGGTTTTGGCACCCTGCCAGGCTCAAAATGAGCCCTTCTAGAGGCAGAGGGAATCTCTCTGACTGCTGGCTGAGAGAGATGCACTGCTGAGATAGTTGCAGAGAGAGACTGCCGGCTGAGAGAGACTGAGTGTGTTTCTGAACTTGAATTGTAGCCTGTTGCTTCCCTAATAAATTCCATAATCCATGAGTTCTGTGTGGCTACTGCAGTGAATTATTGAACCCAGCACAGAGGTGGTGGGTGCCACAGGAGGGACGGTTGGTGTGAGGCTTGTTAAGAGGCCTGGAGGGTGGTGGCATGTCCGGCCTCATAGGAGCAAGCCTTGGGCTGCTGATGGTGATTCTGTCTTCCTCTTGTGGAGTTAGAGGAGGTCAGAGATGCCACCTCCCTGCCCCTTTAGCAAGTGTTAAGTGACAAAAAAAAAAAAAAGTATTATATATCAGGAATGACTGGTGTTGCAAAAATGCTCACATATCAAGGTTTCCATTTTTCATCTCAATAAATCAACAAATGGAGAGATAACATAGGTAAATCAATTATGGCAACTTCACTGCTTCCAATAACATCTAATTTCCTATTGCTTCAAGAAGGCTTGCAACATCACTAATATTCAACACTATAGCATGTGCACAAAACCAAACCAAAAACCAAACCAAAAACCAAACTCACTGCTGTTGAGTCGATTCTGACTTATAGCGACCCCTCCTTGGGTTTCCAAGGTGGTATTTCTATGGAAGTAGATTGCCCAATCTTCCTTCTGAGGAGTGGCTGGTGTGTTTAAACCACCAGCCTTCTGGTTAGCAGTCAAATGCCTTAGGTGCTAGGCCAAAAGACCTATGATATCTACCATAGGGCTACAAACAGAGGAAACCCTTGTCTGAGACTTGGATTCTAGAACTTTGATAAATAGTACTTTCTATTTAGTTAATTAATTTGATTCCTCTTTACATTTATAAAGTATTTAATACTCTTCTAACTTTTTTCATCAAGAACAGTATCTCCTAGAATTTTAGTGCTATAAGGAAACATACAGATCATGCCTATCACCTTCACATTTTACATATCAAAGAGTTTGAAGCCCAATGCATATAAATGATATGCTCTTGATAGCTGGCAACAAGACCAAGACTAGATCTTCTGATTCTAAATTCAAATTTTTTTCTATTTCTTTGTTTTTTCCATTATAAAATCAGAAACTACAAAGTTTTTGTTTTAAATGTTGACATCCTCAAAGTAATGAATTTATACTCAACAAGACAGCAAATCTTAACTAAATTTCAAGTCACATACAAAGGAAAAAAAAAATTCAACAAATTTAGATAATTACAGTGAAATAGTAACAACAAAATAGCAAAAAATAAAATAGTAAAAATATAGTACAATATTAGAAATTCTTCATATACTACTGTAAGAACAAATACAAAAATCTCAAGTTTTTTTTATAAAAAATATATAATTTGATGAAAGTGTATGATTAACTTAAAAACTTTTATGCACTGTTAATTAGCTCATTTTTTTTCCCATCAGTTTCCTACTGGAAAACTCTGGACAGGAAGAGTTAGCAGCCTGGAAGATTTATATCTCACCTAGCAACAAAGGGTAATCACACTTTCTATAGAGATGACCCCCAGCAACTAGCTCTTTGACAAAGCCTCTAAATTGTGTAGCTGGCCAATAATACTGAAAATACCATGGAATGCTAAAGGAACCAACAAATCTATACTAGAAGGAGTGCAGCCAGAATGCTCTTTAGAAGCAAGAATGACCAGACTTTGTCTTACCTCCTTCAGTCATGTTTTCAGAAGGGACCAGTCCCTGGAGAAGGATATTATGCTTGGTAAAGTAGAAGATCAGTAAAAAAGGGGAAGTTTCTCAACAGGATGGACTGACACAGTGGGTACAATGATGGGTTCAAGCACTGCAAGGATTGTGGGCTGGCACATGACTGGGCAGTATTTCGTTCTGTTGTACATAGGGTCCCTATGAGTCAGAACCAACTCGACGGCACCTAACAACAACAACAATGGCTAGAATCCTCACTAACCTCATTGCTGTTGAGTCAATTTTGACTCATAGTGACCCTAAAAAGACAGAGCAGAACCACCCTGTGGGGTTTCCAAGGCTGTAATCTTTAGTGAAGCTGACTACATCTTTCTCCTGAGAAGCAGCTGGTGGGTTCAAACCACTAACGTTTTGATTAGCAGCTGAGCACTTAACAATTGCATCACTAGGGTCTATCCTCACTAAGACCTATAAATACAAAACAGTATCTGATGAAGAAAAGGACATAGTAAAAGATAAAGGCCAGAATGAGAAGTCAAGAACAAGATGATAGCATTGGATGCCTCCAGCTGTTAAAATCAAGAGGTTATGATATACAGTACATTTGTATTCAATAGGTTGGAAGAATCTACATATGTTTCTGCAAGGAAATATACACATTTCTAAAGGTCAATGTCACAATAACTTGAAACATTACTTCTGCCAAAGAACAATTTTTTTTCCCTCTTCCCTAAGTTAAACATAGCCAATATAGGCATAAAGTAATCCAATAGAATAACCCAATAAAAATATATTTTACCTAGACCTGTATTATGTTCAAATTTCCCTCAGAGATGTATGTAATAAACACACATACACACACACACACATATTTGAGCACTAAATGTATAATAGGTGTTTTTCATCCATATTTCTATGTGGGATCATCATATCCATAGACTTCAAAAGAAGGCCCAATGATTATAAGTCAGATATTGAAAAACAAAGTTGTTAAATTTGTGATATTTTAAAAAGGAAGGTTTTTAAACTTATAAATCATGAGTCACATTAATCTCTACCTAATATTCAACACTGTATTTTAGAGAGCAATAAAATGATAAATCATAGTTCTTACTAATGTTCTTTTAAAAAAGTTAACCATGATCTACTTCAAAACATGTTTAATCTTACCTACAATATAGATGAGAACCTGAAGCATTTCTTCTATTAGTGTATTATATTGTTTAATCAAATCCTACAGAATTGAAAAAGAATAGATTAGTTACCTATCTAAGAACCCCAAACTTCCATATAATATGTATTTCTATAAAAGACTCATGGTCTACCCAGTCCACTATTTGTTTCAGACCACAGCAACAGATAGCTATGAGTAGTAATAATTCCCTTTTTTGACATGAAATTCGACACAGTTCACAATACCTGGCACATAGTAAGAACTCAAAAATGAATGTTAAATATTATTTTCATTATTATTCTTCATATAGCCTTAAGTCAACACACTAATTCTAGTCCATAACTCTTTTTCCTAGATTGTTGAGAAAGCAGCTTCAAGTAGATACCAAACAGTTATGATGAGATTATCCTTTCCTAACACACCTCTTATTTAAGTATTACAGCAAATCAGATACTCAGTTTCACTAAATGAATATGAAACATGACTAAAAATTAGCTTTGCAATCATTATCTTATTCTTTGGCCATTTACAAGCAGCTTCTAATTTGAAAGAGTAAGTGCAGTGTAGTAAATTACTTAGCGTGGCTTTTCTACCCATAAGTCTTTGTAAACTCCAAGGTGGGATTTTCTATGAGCAATTGAGGAGCTCCTGATTGCTGAAGGTATCCACCTGGAGTATTTCTGTTGGGAGTGGCATAAAACAATGTTCTGGGAGGTACCCACTCTCTCTCAGGTGCTTAGAGTTCTGATGCTATGATTGGCTAGTTTGACCACCCTGACGGGCTCAAAAGGAGGCCTCCTAGAGGCAGAACGCTCTCTGACTGCTGGTTCAGGGAGACGTGCTGCCGAAAGAGACACGCACCCCTGAAAGAGACACGCGTTGCTGAGAAAGAGACGCAAGAGACACACATCGCTGAGTGAGACACTGAAGGACGAGCACTGCTGGGAAAGAGACTGTGAGAGACTGCTGGCTGAGGGACGGTGGGCTGGGAGAGAGACTGAGCATTTTTCCTGAACCAGAGTTGTAGCCTGTGGTGCTTCCCTAATAAACCTCATAATCTGTGAGCTCTGTGTGGCCATTGCAGCGAATTATCGGACCCAGGAGAGAGGTGGTGGTGCTTTGGGAGGAACGGTTGGTGAAAGGGCTGGAGGGAGGCAGCATGTCTGGCCTGGCAGGAATAGGCCTTGGGTTACTGCTGGTAATCCTGTCTTCCTCTTGTGGGGTTCTAGGAGGTAGAATATGAGGTATCCTTGCCGTTTTAGCAGTAAGTAAAGTGCTTTCATATATTCCAAATAGTCAAAGGCTGTATTATAAGCTGGTATTTCAAAAATTAAAACAATAATGATGTGGTCTGATAGAGACTGGTAGAACTCCCAAAACTAAGGTCCTCAGACACCCTTAAAGCCTGGAAATGAATTTACCTTCATGGCTCAACTTTCAGCCAAACAATAAACACGTCTATAGGGTGAATGGTAGGAAATACCCGGGAAGTACACACTCATTAGAACAATCAACCATAAGAGATCAAAAAGGAAGCCATTGCCCAGGAATAAAGCTAAGAAGGCAGGAAGGCACAGGAAAAAAGAATGAACAAAATGGTAAACACAGGCAGGAAGCGGGAAAAGAGCCGTTACACTGTAGGGAATGCAATGAATATCAAAAAACAAAATGTATATGAATTGATGAATGGAAAACCAATTTGCTGTGTAAACTTTCATCCAAATCACAACTAAAGAAACAAAACAAAACAATGTGACAAAACACCACAGGACAAATTAAAAATTGTGAAAAATGTAACAAATACAGTAGATGAAGGGTTACTATCTTTACTAAATAAAGAGCTTTTATAAAAACAGAAAAAAAGTAAACTATAAGAACAGATAATTCATTACCAAGAAGAAAAAAAAAGGTCAATAATTACAAAATCATAGCCAACTTCACTGATAATTAAGGAACTGCAATTTAAAATGAAATGCCATCTTCTACTTATCAGACTGATAAAGATTAAAAATAATTCTAATACCAGTGCTATTACAGATGTACATACTGCTGGAAAGAACTTAAAATCAACATTTTTTTTTAGAGTAATTTGACAGTGTGTATTAAGAGGCTTAAAAAAGGGTATGCTGCCTTATCTATCAAATTCACATCTAAAATTTATCTTAGTGAAATAATCAGACAAGTATGCAAACATTTTTTAGGTCCAGATAGGTTTAAAAAGACCAAAAACCTAGAAAAACCTCTTTAACAATAGGGAACTGGCTAAAGTATAATGCATTTGTACACTGGAATACTATGTAGCATTGAAAAATAATGATGTTGCATATTTATTTAACACAAGGAAAAACTTGTTAAGGTATTTTGTAAAGCACAGAAAGCAGGCTACAAAAAACATGTAGACAAAATCTAACTCTTGCTTTAAAAACAAAGACATCAAAACTGTAAAAGTCATCATCTCTAGGAGGCAGTATTTCATGAGATTCTTCATTTCCTTTTTGTTAATCTCTATTTTCTAATTTTTCTAGACTAAAAAGATTATGTAAACATACATATATACACATATATATGTCATATGTACGTATATGACTTGGAAGAAAGAAATTTTTAAATATGATTAAAACCAAAACCAAAAATCACACTCACTGCCATCACATAGACTTCTACTCATAGTGACCTCTCCTTGGGCTTCTGAGGCAGTACCTCTATGGAAGTAGATTGCCCAATCTTCTTTCTGAGGAGTGGCTGGTGGGTTTGAACCCCCAAGCTTCTGGTTAGCAGTCAAATGCCTTAGGCACTATGCCACCAGAGCTCCCATGATCAAAACAGTAACAATATCCTCTTTGGAATTATTTTACTTATCAGTTTCTGTTGTTTACCTGGTCTTTTGTGGATATGGTCTTGTTAAAAGCATCAACAAGTTCATACCTCTGAAGTACCAGTAACAAGAACGTGTTGGGATCCATTAAAGATGCACCAATCTGTAAAAGAAATCCAGCAACATATTTTTCATATAGTAAATGGAGAAATACTTTGTACTAGAAGTGTCAGAAAAATTACAAGTTTATAGATTATAATGTAATAGCCTTTCCATTTCTATGCTACCTTATTGAGTTTTAACAGTGAGAAAAATTTAACTAAACTTAAAAATAACTATAATATCCTGTATTATTAGAAAAGAATTTAAGAAGGAAGGTTATGATATAAATATCAAAAGTAATATAAATAGGTACCTGAAGCATGATGATATCTTTATCATACATTTCTTCTCTGCATTTAACATCTTGGTAGTAAAATACCTATAAAATAAATAGATAGATGCTAAAAGAAATATTTTGTTTCAAGAAAAATTTGCAACAAAACCTATTCTTAAATGTAAATCAATGTGTTACTATAATAATGATTAAAGTCATAACTATAAATGATGGCCACTCTAATGGTTGTACATGTCTATACGAGAATAGTAAGTATGTGTATTGTGTATGTTGTTAGTTCTGAAATTAAATCTTAAGTTATTTCTACTCCACCAGCTACCCAAAACAAAAGAACCCCAAAACATATTCTTAACATTTTCTCTAAACCAAAAGCTCAGAACTCCTTAGAGGCAAAAAATAAATTTTAAGTCTATTAATCATTTTAAGGGTCTTGTAAAGATAAAATGAGAAAATATGGTATAAACATACTTCAGAGTCAAAAATATATTATAAATACAGTAGCTACTATTCTCAACTAATGTAATGATTTATTTCTCCTAAGTTTAAAATACCTACTTCAATACAAGTAAACCAATTTCTACCATTAATCATAATGGTAATCATAATCATTTTTCTCCCAAGTGGTATCTTTACAAGTCTGTTTTTCCACCTTTTAGGAAAACCCTTCTTATTTGCTCTAAAACAGAAGAAAAAATTTTTAAGATGACCTTTAATTAAGACAGATGGTAAGAAGACTAAAAATACTCCACTAAGTTAATCCTCAGAAGTGAGATATATTAATAGGAAACTTCTGTTTGTATCACTGGCTTTCATTTAATCTATCCACTCAAGCACCCTAGTTTCTTATAATTAAGATAGAATAAGTGGTAAATAATTGGGAAGAAGGTTGTCTTCATTCTCTAGTGCTGCTATAACAGAAATACCACAGGTAGGTGGCTTTAACAAAGAGGAATTTATTTTCCTACAGTTTAGGAGGCCAGAAGTCCAAATTCAGAGTGCCAGCTCTAAGGGCTGGGTGAAGGCTCCTTGACCTTGGGTTTTAGCTCTACTTTTTGTTCCAAGCCCACTGGTGCTGGCAGCATCTCCTAACTTAGGCAGCTGCAGGCTGCTGAAGCTGATGAACTCAAGATCAGCAGGTAAAATGGCACAATCCCAAGATCAACAAGCAACACAGCAGGCCACTGTTCAAGTCCAGAAAAATCCCAAGATCAGCAGAAATATGGCCCAAAATGTGCCAAAAGCTAGAGACCCTTCTCAAAGATTCTCTATATATACTAGAAGCAGTCCACATCCTGAAGATAACCAACAAGCTCACAGCAGATTCCACCATGGAGCTGGATTACACCATATCCAATATCATCATGGGGAATAACCATATCCAGCTACCAAGCCACTCAAAACCACAGTCCAGCTAAGTTGACACAGAACCTTAATTATCACAAAGGAGAAATGTCTATTATTTCATTTATAATAGTTTATACAAGAGAATCGAAAGAAAATACTCAGCAAAATCCAGGGTCATGAGGTAGATTGATATAAAAGCAAAGAAAGAAAAAAAAATATAGCAATCAGAGAATGTATGAATAATATACCTTGCCATACCTGGCTAATAAGAGAAAGCCCATTTCTTCGCCACATCTCAGCAACAACCTGGGCAACCAATACCAGACAGCGCAAAGGATATTCCACCAGGACTTCTATTTGAAAGTCCTCCTGAAACAGAATGAGGTCAATTTCATTATTCTCCCAGGGCTTGGATGTATCTCAAAATTATGATACTATATATTCCTCAGTTTTTTTCACATGAAAAATGGGAAGGCTTGAATTAGATGACTTCTAAGTCCCTGTGATTTAGATTTTGATGTACTATATAGAGACATAAAATTAATAATGATAATTACTTAGGTGGATTTCAAAATATTATTTTCCTTCCCACTCATCAAACAAGGGGTATTTAGAATTAGAAGATAAGCACATCAACACTAAATAGAGTCACTTACAAAAGGCACAAATTCATGAAGTCTTGAAACAGCACCTAACCTGCTTAAACGCACATGAAGACCTAAAGGTAAAAAAAGGAGAAATACAAAAAAGCAATTAAATTTGTTTCTGGATTAATGCATCAAGTTTGGAAACCTGTGTGATTTAAATGCATGTTTGTTGAGTTTAGAAATGACATCCTGGAATACCAACTTTTGACTTCTATTTCTGAATCATCAATATATGTCAGTAACACTTAAGATCCAGTATTATGTAAGGTGATACATTTTACATTACAGAAAAATGTTGCCTCTCCAAGGGACTTATATCTAAGATTTATAGCGGAAGAGTAAACGACTACTCTTATGTACACACACACACACACACACATACATAAAGTTCTAAAGTAGGTAAAACTCATCTATAGTGACAAAAATAAGATCCATGGGTGCCTGGGCTTTGGAGTTGAGGAGGGGGGAGGATGCCTGGAAAGGTGTAATAAATAACATTTTATGATGATGGAAATGTTCAAAATTTTGACTGGGGGGAGGGGAGTGTTGGTTACAGGGATACATATGTTTGTCAAAACTAAATTACTTATACACTTAAAATATGTTCATTTTAGTATTTATAAATTATACTTTGATAAAGCTGCTAAAAAGAAAAATCCCTGATGTAGGTCTGATTTAAATGGAAATGCAAATAAAAAAATCATTAAAGTCTATGAATTTTTTTGTTTTAGTGGTGGGAGGAACAGTGACACAGACAATATACTGGTGAAATCAGTCAGAGAGTAGGGTTACAACCAACAAGAAGATATTCATTATATTTAAATGTTTTGGTGAGGATAACTTAATAAGTTAGTCCTTAAATGTAAACTATAAGGATTCACCAGATGACTCAGCTAACAAAGGCCCAACTAAAGAAACAAACATTGATGTTCTGGGGCCAGCTCCTTAAAAGACAATGACAGATCTTAATTGCAGTATCTGGCCTGAGTATGTGTATATATACTGGCCAGGGAATAAAAAGAGAATTCTACTATTTTGAACATCTAGAAAATAAAATTATAAAATCATGCAAAATAAAACACTCACCAGCAAGAGTCCTGGAGAGAGGCAGATGTATGCTTACAAGATCCTCAGATACTCTGTAGGACTTTGTTCTCAGAGTATGACCACACAATTGTACTACTGTCTTACTACTAGACATGAAATTTGTACTGCACCTCATCACAGCTTTGTGACATTCTTTATAAGCCACTAGTAACAGTTCTTCCTAAATAGAAAATGAAAATAAGTCAGTACCTACTTTAGCATGCATTGTTTGACAAATGTTTGTGAATATAATATGAGCACAAAACTGCTCTATATATTACTAGGGCCACCTATACAGGATATGCAAATGGGCAGGAACTGTAAGACAAATACACATATAATCAAAGAAAACTGCAAGTGTCATGTAAATGATATAAGCATATTACCTTAAAAGGACAAAGAAAGGAATCATAGACAAATGTGAAGATATTATCATAAAAATAGCTTTCCGAAAGGCGCCTAAAAGAATATGTAGAATTTAAGTATGGGGAAAAGATGAGGAGAAGGTATTACTGTAAACAAACATGTAAAATAAACAGATACAAATAAAAGAAAATACTATTCAGGTAAGTAAATCAAAGGTTTATGAGATGAGTGAATTCCAACTCACAGTGACTTTATAAGACAGAGTAGGACTGACCCATTGAGTTTTCTAGGCTGTAATCTCTACAGGAACATCTGTAAAAGGCTTTTTTCCTGTGGAGCTACCAGTGGATTCAAATCTCTGACCTTTCAGTTAGCAGCTGAGTGCTTAACCATTGTGCCATCAGGGCTCTTTATGGGTAGGATTAGTTAGCAATTAAGCTGGAAATATGTCTTGGTATCAGCATGTGAATACACAGGCAATGTCTGAAGGGTAATGATGTAGTCAGTGCACTGCTTTAAGAAGAATTAATGGATGTCACCAATGATGATAGATTTGGAGAGTAAGGAGTCAAGGAGACTAACAGGAATACTGTTATAAAGTCCAGATGTAAGGGTGATATGGGTCTGAACTAGGTAGGCGCAGTGAGGACAGAAAAGAATTAACCCATAGAAAATAAGTTCAGATTATAAAATAAATAAATTTGGAGTATAAGAAAGAATCAAATCTACGTGAGTATGGTAGGAAGAAAGAAGGGTCAACGGTCACCCTCTAAGAAAATGTTTCTCATAATAACTTTCTAAACAAAAGGAACTGCAGGGTCAAATAAATTTGGGGAGCACCCCTCTTAGAAATGAGCATAATGACTAAAGAGTGAGAAATGAGTGGTTTAATAAATTCTATTTAATTTTGCCCAACCTAGCATTGCCAGTCTTATGTGTTCCCCTTCAAAACATGTTAGCATCTAACATAAAGAACAGGGTCTGAGAATTGCTGTATGGATGAATGCATGAATAGTAGTGCATGAAAAGAACAAAAGAAGAAGAGAAAATGCAAACTAGAAATAGAAAGAAATGACAAAAAAAATCTATCTCAGGTTGAAATGTAAGAATAATATCTAAGCAGAAATGTCTGACACCCAAAACAGTAGTTATACTATAGCTTGGGATAATCATCCCTTGGAGGTTTTAGTTGAAGTGGTAGAAATAAAAGAACCTATAAGAAAGAAAACATTAAGGAATACTATCACTTAGCAAGCAGAAGGAACTGAAAGAAGGGCAATCATTGATTGAAAAGGGCAATCAATATTAAAAGTATTGTGTTGTTGTTGTTATGTGCCGTCGAGTCAGACCCGACTCATAGTGACCCCACCTTGGGTTTCCGAGGCAGCATCACTACGGAAGTAGATTGCCCAACCTTCCTTCCGAGGAGTGGCTGGTGGGTTTGAACCACCAGCCTTCTGGTTAGCAGTCAAATGCCTTAGGCACTATGCTACAAGACCTCCTATTAGAAGTATTGTTTTTGTTGTTGTTGCTGTTGTTATGTGTTGTTGAGTCGGACCCGACTCATAGCGACCCCTCCTTGGGTTTCCAAGGCAGTATCACTATGGAAGTAAATTGCCCCATCTTCCTTCTGAGGAGTAGCTGGTGGGTTTGAACCGCAAGCCTTCTGGTTAGTAGTCAAGTGCCTTAGGCACTACGGTACCAGAGCTCCTATTAGAAGTATTAGGATAATGCAAATTTGTGAAAATCTTAAGTAGGAAGTTTTAAGAAGATTAAGGTATTAAGGTTCTCAGCAGAATACCTGCTACAGACAATTCAAGGAAAATGGGCACTTAGAAAAAGACCTCTGAATTTGATTACTAAACAATCCTTTGAGATTTTTCTGAAAGTAGATTCTATGAACTGGTAAGGGCAGAAGCTATAGAACTGGCAGGAGCTAAAATCTGAAGACAGGAAATGTAGATGACATCAGCAAGTTTCCAACAATTGTGCATGTCCCCCACAAGCATGAAGGGAGCCAAAATACGTGTTCTGAGTAGCTGACAGACAACATTTCCTGTCACTATTATTCTATAAAGCTATTGTGCCAGATTAAAGTCTACTGTATCTGTGAGTATGACTTCCACTCTGAACTTGTGACCAATTAACTAGTGGTAGGAGAGAGAAGGAAAAAAAGAGAGAGAGAACACAGTTCATAGCTGTTGCAGGGACATATAAGGAGGCTTTTATTATTATTGATTTTAAGGATGGGCAGAAGAGTGAATGAGTAGGAAATTCAAGAAGAGGTAACTGAGGAAGTAAGCTCCAGTAAGAATACAGGGTGGGATCAAGAGCCTAAGTAGAGGCTTTAATTTTAGAAAGAGACAAAAATGAAAAAAGCAATAATGAATTTACAGAAGAATCAAGTTACTGGATAAACTATGGTGACAGGTATAGAGAAAAACCAGAGAAAATAAAATAATTTGATTCAGATAATGTCAATTTTCTCAGAAAACAAACAAATAAGGTAATCTTAGCTAAAGGAAATCAAGAGTAGCATTGTTTGTTTAAAGAAGATAATGATCTAAAATTATTACTTAAGGGAATATAATTCTATGTTTTGAAATCAATTTTTTAAATGGCTTAACACACATAACAAACTCTTCTCAAAGAATAATCATCTTTCTCCATTTGGGATATTTAAAAATCTATATGGTCTTGATACCAAAGCCAGGTAAAGACATCATTCAAAAGGAAAACTACTGAAGAATGCTGAAAGTACCATGGACTGCTAAAAGAACTAACAGATCTGTCCTGGAGGAAGTGCAGCCAGAATGCTCCTTGGAAGCAAGAATGGCCAGACTTCGTCTCACCTATTTTGGTCATGTTGTAAGAAGGAACCATTCCCTGGAGAAGGGTGTCATGCTTGGTAGGGTGGAGGGTCAATGAAAGAGGGGGAGGCCTTCAACGAGATGGATTGACACGGTGGCTGCAATGATGGGCTCAAGTATAGCAGGGATTGTGGGGCTGGCGCAGGATCGGGCAGTGTTTCGTTCTACTGTGCATGGGGTCGCTATGAGTCGGAAACGACTCGACAGCACTTAACAACAACAACAACAATATCCCTCATGAATATAGATGTAAAAATCTTCAACAAAATCCTAGCTAACAGACTCAAACAACATACCAAAAAACTAATTCATTTTGACCAAGTGGGGTTCATATTAGCTATGCAAGGATGGTTCAACATTAGAAAAACAATCAATGTCATCCACCACATAAATAAAACAAAGGAAAAGAACCACATGATCATATCAATGTAGAGAAGCATTTGATAAAATCCAACACCCATTCCTGATAAAAACCCTCAGAAAATAGGAATAGAAGGAATATTCCTCAACATAATAAAGGGCATCCATGCAAAACCAACAGCCAACAACATTATTTTTAATGGAGAGAAACTGAAACCATTCCCCTTGCGAACAGGAACCAGACAAGGATGCCCTCTATCACTACTTCTACTCGATGTTGTATTAGAAGTCCTAGCCAGGGCAGTAAGGCCAGAAAGGGAAATCAAAGGCATCCAAAATGGTAAGGAAGAAGTCAAACTATTCCTATTTGCTAATGATATGATCTTATACCTAGAAATACTCAGTAAAAAATCTACTAAACTAATTGAGAGACTTAGCATTGTGGCAGGAAACAAGACCAACATACAAAAATCAGTTGGAATCCTCTACACCAGCAAAGAGATTGCTGAAAAAGAAATAAGGAAATCAATACCATTTACAATAGCTACCAAAAAAATTTAAAATACTTGGTAATAAATCTTACCAGAGACACAAAAGACCTGTACAAAGAAAACCATAAAAGACTACTTCAAGAAACTGTTAAGAGATCTACATCAATGAAAGAACATACCATGCTCGTGGATAGGAAGATTGAACATCGTAAAAATGTCAGTTCTACCCAAAGTAATCTACACATTCAATGCAATCCCAATCCAGATCCCATCAACATTTTTTAAGGATCCCACTTGATGGCACATAACAACAAACAACCTTACATGGAAAGGAAAGAGACCTCGGTAAGCAAAGCATTATTGAAGAAGAAGAACAAAGTAGGAGGTCTCACACTCCCAGATCTCAAAACCTGTTATACAGCCACAGTAGTCAAAACTGCTTGGTACTAGTATAATGACAGATACATGGACCAATGGAATAGAATCAAGAACCCAGAAATAGATCCATCAACCTATGGTCAGCTGATCTTTGAAAAAAGGCTGAAATCCATTAAATGGGGAAGAGAATGTTTAACAAATAGTGGTAGCAAAACTGGATATTCATTTGTAGAAAAATGAAACAAATTCTGTATCTCACACCATACACAAAAACGAACTCCAGATGGATCAAAGACTTAAATGTGAAGCCTAAATCATAAAGTTCCTCAAAGAAAAACTAGGGGCAAATTTAGGAGCCCTGATCTATGGTATAAATAGACTATCAAGCATAACCCAAAATGCACAAACAGCAGAAGAGAAACTAGATGAATGGGACCTTCTAAAAATTAAATTTTTATGTGCTTCAAAAGACTTCTTCAAAAGAGTTAAAAGAGAACCTACAGATTGGGAAAAAATATTCAGCATATTGCTAGAATTTATAGAAAACTCCAACACCTCAACAACAAATAATCCAATTAAATACGGGCAGAAGACATGAATAGAAACTTCACCAAAGAGGATAGTCAGGCAGCCAACAAACGTATGAAGAAATGCTCATGATCATTAGCCATTGGAGGATGCAAAGACAGAAAATAACAAATGCTGGTGAGGATGTGGAGAGATTGGGACTCACATACACTGCTGGTAGGACTGTAAAATGATATAACCAGTGTGGAAAGCAGTATGGTGATTCCTTAAAAAGTTGGAATTAGAAATACCATCTGACCCAGCAATTCCATTACTAGGTATATATCCTAAAGAAGTGAGAGCCAGGACAAGAACAGATACATGCAGATCATGTTCATCACAGCACTATTTACAATAGCAAAAAGATGGAAATGACAGATGTGCCCATAGAAAGAAGAATGGATAACTAAACTATGGTACATACACACAATGGAATACTATGCAACCCTAAAGAATAACGTAGAATCTACAAAACACCACATAACGTGGATGAATTTTGGAGGACATTCTCCTGAAATAAGTCAATCACAGAAGGACAAATATTATATTAATCTGTTATTGTAAAACATCAAGGAAAGGTTTACATATGGAAGGAAATTTTCTCTTTTGGTTACCAGGAGTGGGAGGGGAGTGATGGGAACACTGTTAGGTAGAGACAAGTATTGATTTGGGTGAAGAGAAGAGCAAATGTGAGTGATCAACATGGCGGCATTCAGGAAGAAGACATAGATGCATAGGAGGTACAGAAAACAAAGATGAACCCTTTTGCACATAAAGTACTGCATTGTCAGTGAAGGCAAACATTGATATACGGGTGGACAGATGGGTAGATTACATATGTCTATGCGGGGGGAGTGTGCCCAAGACCATGTATAGGGTTGGCAACAATGATTCTACAAGTGTATTTGTATGTTCTATAAGAATCCCCAAGTATATAGTAGAGCTGACAAGGGACAAGGCTGTAGTCACTTCTTGGTTACAGTCAGCTACCCAGAGGGAGTGAACAGTTGGACCTGTGGGCTTGGGACCATAGTTGCAGGGAACATCAAGGGCAATTGGCATAACATACTACACAAAAACATTGTTCCACATCTTACTGTGGCAAGTAGCAACTGGGATCTTAAAAGCTTGCAAGCGGCCATGTAGATGCAATGATGGGTCTCCCTTATCCAAAGCAAAGAATGAAGAAAAACAAAGACACATGAAAACAATTAGTCCAAGGAACTGGTACATCATGCAATCCTCTATGACTAGGAGACCAGAAGAACTAGATGGTACCCAGCTACCACTGTCAACCTCTATGTAGGAGATCCTGGATAAAGGGGGAGAACAATGTAGAACAAAACTCAAAATCATTTAAAAAAAAAAAAGGATGAGGTTTGCTGGTCTGATAAAGCCTGGTGGAACCACTGAGACTATGGCCCCTAGCTGCCCTTCAGGTCTAGCATTAAACCCACTCCTCTGGCTTCTAGTCAAACAAAAGACAGGCACATGAGCTGAACATTGACACTAGGCAGATACACTTCTTGGAGAGATCAATCATGGGAGAACAGAAGGGCTGTGTACACACAGGAAGACAGCTCAGGGGGCAGGAGTGCATGGGAGGGAAGGACACAGGGAAGAGGTAACTATGGGGAGGATGTGGGAGGGGAGCTGTTGAGTTGTGGGAAATTGCAGTCAATGTCAAGAGACAAAGTGTATGTGAGCTGCTGTATGGAAAGTGAGTTTACTCTGTAAACTTCCACCCAAATCACTCACACACACACACACACACACACACAGTCTATGTGGTCAAAACTATTGTATTATTAATATTTATTTTCACAGAAATACACACACATACTCTTAAATGTTGTTATTGCTATTCCTAGGAGCCCTAGTGGTGCAATGGTTAAAGCGCTCTGTTAACTGAAAGGTCAGTGATTCAAACCTGCCAGCCTTTTGCTCCACAGGAGAAAGATGTGGTGGTATGCGCCTATAAAGATTAAAAAATACTCCAAACCAAACTTACTGCCATCAAGTTGATTCTGACTCATATAGTGAACCCCTTTGGGTTTCTGAGGCTGTAAATCTTTACGGAAGTAGATTGCCCAGTCTTCCTTCCATGGAGTGGCTGGTAGGCTTTAGTCTATAAGGTTTGCTGAAATCTGTCCACCATGGGTGACCCTGCTGGTTAGCAGTCAAATGCCTTAGGTACTACATTACCAGAGCCCCTTACGTCTTATAAACCCATTGGGAAGTTCTTTATCATATAGGGTTGCCATGAGTTGGAATCAACTAGATGGCAATGGTTGTTTTGGTTTAAAGTATAAAAGACTGGATCTCTTCCTAAATATAAGACAAATTCAAGTATGGAAGAAACTACCCAAAAAAACACCTGTGTATCAAGGAAGTTAAAACATAAATTACACTATTAAAAACCGCTAGAACACTTAAAAAGGCAATGATGATCTTGCCATATCCTACTAACAAATTTTACTTACATCACAAGCACACCACTCTTGGAACATAAGTAAAATGTTCTTCAGTTGCATCTGTATAGCAATGGCAGCCTCCCAGTCAGGATCCACTTCAATGTGTTGCCCAACTTGTCTTCTGATTTCTTCCATTCCCTACAAGACAAGACTGATCAATACAACCTATACAGGCCCTCTTTCTTTGTTCCTCTGCTGGAAAAATATAAAACTGTCAGGATTCATATTCATATGTGAGTAGCATTTTACCATGATTGTTATGTTATTGTTGTTAGGTGCCTTTGAGGTGGTTCCAACTCAGCAACTTATGTACCACAGAATGAAACACTGTCCGGTATTACACCATGCTCACAATCACTGATATGCTTGACCCCACTGTTACAGCCACTGTGTCAATCCATCTCACTGAGGGTCTTCCTTTTTCACTGACCCTATCCTTTACCATGCATGGAATCTCATTCTGAGTTGTGTCACATCAACAAATGAAGGTCACAAAAGCTTTACTCCATCCACATCATTAAGGTTGACTCTACTTTGAGGAGGCAGCTCTTCCCCAGTTGTAGTGTGAATGCCTTCCAACCTGAAGGGATCATCTTCTGGCATTATACCAGACATATACTACTACTTATAACATTTTCAGTGGCCAACTTTTTCAAGTGGACCACCATATCCTTCTTCCTAGTCCGTTTTAGTCTAGAAGCTTTGCTGAAATCTGTCCACCATGGGTGACCCTGCTGGTATTTGAAATACTAGTGGAATAGCTTCCAGCATCACAACAGCACACAAGCCAGCACAGTACAACAAACTGACATTGTGCTAAGTCAAAATGCATAAGTTCAAATCCCAGCTCTGCCACTTTCTAGCTGTGTGACTCTGTGATGGTTAAGGTTCTGTGTTAATTTGGCTGGACCATGATTGTCAGTGGTATGGCAGTTATGATGTAATCATCCCTTATGATGAGATCTGTTATGAGCAATCAATCAGTTGAAAGAGAGTTTCTTCAGTGGTATGGCCTGTTTCCAACATATACCCAATATATATGGATGTTCTGGCAAAGCTCTGTGGCTTTTTGCTCCATCTAGACCCTGTATCTGCTCATTATCATGTAACTTCTGTTTCTTTGGACTCAAGCCAGAAGCCTGCTGTATTACCTGCTGATCCTTTTTTGTCAGCCCCTTCACCATGTGAGTCAGAAGAAACCTCAAGCCTAACATCTGACCCAGGAACTTGGAACTTTCCAGCAACTACAACTGCGTGAGCCATTTCCTTATATATATACATATGTAAGCTTCACTGGTTTCACTTCTCTAGAGAACCCTTCTGTAAAATTATTATTTTTTTTTTTGGTTTCTGTTCCTAGATGATTACATGCTGTGTTTTTTGTCCATGTGCTCTTAGTTTTTTGAAGGTTATTCAATTGTATTTTTGTCTAACTGAGTGGGAGACAGCAACAGTCCCCATAAGACACAACTACACCCACACCTCCTGCAACTTCACTTACTGAG